TAGATAGATAGATAGATAGATAGATAGATGATAGATGATAGATAGATAGATAGATAGATAGATAGATAGATGCTAGATAGAAATTTTATTTCATTTGCTTAATACTTATGGGTATCATAAAATCATTCTTAAAATATTCCTGATATGTTAAATGTTAGGTTTTTATTAAGGCTGGGCTACATGTAAAATTATATGTTTATATATATATACATATATATGTTTGCTGAAGTTCTTTGTGTTAAGACCCCTTTCCACAGTTAAGATTAGAAGAGACATAATAAGAATAAGAACAAGAGAAGCAGACTGTGTCCCTGGATAGGACTTAAATATTAAACCTCTGCCACCCAGGGCTCAGGGATCACTGCAGATGAGAAAGTGGAGAGACTGTAAGAGCCAGGGATGTTAGATGACCAACAAGGAAACAGTTTTCCAGACAGTTGGGAATTTATTCCGATGAACTTACAGCAAAGGTGGCAGCAGGCTTAAAGACTCATGTAAATTCAAATCAGAAAAACACGCAGCATAGAAGTGGGGAAATGGGCAAGAAGTTCCAACCTTAGCTGAACTATTGGTAACTGATCACTACTGGGAAAGAGTGAATTGGTCTTCTTTAAGGGAGTGATGCTAGATAAGTTGATCAGGCTCCAGCAGAATGAACTCACACCCAGGGACCTCTAAGGACAAAAACTTGGCTTAACATATATGACATATATGACAGAATGCATGAAATCTGGTGGGGGGCTATGAGAGAGTACAGATAGGGGAGGGAGGTCTGACTATGATTAAGATGTATTGTATGACACGTACAAAAATTCAATAAAAAATAGAAAGAAATATATCTTTATATATTTACTGTCTACATGTGCTTAGGGTTTTATTTTTTAATATCATTTACTCAGTACCAAATTGTCTTGTAAGTGCTCATGCAGACTAAATTTGTTCAATTGGTTCAGTTTCCTTTTGGCTCACCAGAAGACTAAAGTTTTAAGGGAACAAGTTCTAACTCCAACCAACCCTAAGAGGCTCCGTAAACTTGGCCACACGTCCAATACGTCAGTTAAAGGGATAAAGAATGACAATGGTGGCATAAGTCAAAGTGGCTAATGGTCCCAGGCCTTTCTTTGGAAGAATTAACATAGGTTTTTAATTTTAAATTTTAACAAACAACTTTTTAAAAAATATACAAGATATATATAATTATACAGTTCTGGTCAAGTTTTTATTTCCTTGATCCTTGTCTCAATTCCCTATTGGTCCCTATTGCTTGAGGATGTAAATTAATTATAAGAGTTGATTACTCCTGCTCCAGGGTATAATTTTGCTGTCCTCTGTTATGCTTAATTCTTTATTCCAAGAATTAAAATAATGATTTGCTTTACATACATACATGTATGTATAAAAATATAAGTGCCAACAACACAGTGGAAAGTAGCAGGGATGACAGAATATGAGGGCTCTAATAGGGGGAGGGAGGCTATGGGAGGGTGCCATCTGGGAAGTGGGTGTACAGTCAAATAAGATGGTTTGGGATGTTCTGTGTGATATACACACACAAAAGAAATCAACAAATTTAAAAATTTAATTACATTTGAGGAGGAAGCATGGAAATTTCCATCATGTTAATTAGTAGAGGTGATAAACGATACCATTGAAATCTACCCGATGGCTTTATAGACATACACAGGTGCCAAGGATCCGAGTGCAACTGATTATGACTAGTAACAATCAGATACATACAGATTAGAAACGCATGTGCCAACATCTCAGAGTTAGTAGCAAAAACAATGAGTCTTTCTACAAGGAACAAAATATTCTAAAATGAAATGGAG